CCCTCCCGGTTTGAAGCCGTGCCAGTCTCTCTGAGCTGTGGTTTTCCTCTTCTTGGTAGTTTGACTCTGGGAAGCTTGTTCCCTGGTACACTCGAATGACAATATCTTCTCTTCTTTCCGATGCTTCCCTCACTGCCATCCCTGCCACTAGGCTTGCCGCTCGGTCCGAGATGCTTCGGTGGCTTCGCCCTCTGCGAGCAGGGAGCACGTCCCTTTTCTTTTTTGACCCGATTCGAGTGCTGTTGGTTGAGGGGTTCTCTCCTTTCTCTTGTCCTCTCTTCTCTGCCTATAAACACAGTTTCTTTTGAATTTTTTTGAGGTTGTTGAGAAAATAAGGATGAAATGTGAGCATGTTTTAGGATTTAGATTTGAATATTTGCTTAAAACGGTGGCATGTTTTCTGTTTATTGCATCATATTTATGTTGGTTGCGATTTGGATAATTGAAGCATGGTTTTGGAATAATTTCTACTTCTCTTGCAAGCATGTTGGGATGTGTATTGTTAAACTTTCCGCTTATCTTTCGTTTAGTATAAGATATTGAAGAATTTATTGGGGCTTTCATGCATGCTAGGGAGGTTTCGGCTTTGGCATCTTAAGACTTGCTCTTGCTTAAAAATGATTGCTAGAGAGTTCATTTTATTTCTTTATACATGTGTGGGGCTTGGTTTAGCTCCTCATGAGGCATCACCCCTGCTAAAAAAAAAATCTGTTGGAATCGTTGTATGCTTGGAATTTAATATTTAGACATGCAGGTTGTTTCTTGGCTTTGGATGGCTCAGTTTTACCTACAGGTGGTTGGAACTTTAATTTCCGTTAAAGCCTGAGTTTGAATCAATGCTTGGGCCCTGTTTTAATCTTGTTGAGCTCTGTTTTGGCTTTTGGTTCTTGTTGGGCTCGGTTTTGGCTTGGTTTGGAGTCTCGGCTTTGGCTCGAAATGGCTAGAACTTTCTTTTTTATGGAGGCTTGAATTTTATTATTTTTTGGCTCGGGTTATGGCTTGTTTGGGGGCTTGG